TAAATATAAGTAGAGGCTAAAGCAGTTGTGTACAGCTAACAATCAGTATACATTTCCTAACAGTTTACTTTCTGTTGAGCGTATTTATGACTTCACTGATCTGTATAGCATCTCATGTCAAGCAATCAGAAGACAGCTTTCAGCCAGAAAGATACAGTAGTCTAATGCAATCTGAATTCTGATGGGTCTCCATGGATTGATCCTCCCTGTTACATAATAACGGAATACATCGTACCCTGCTGCAATAAGAGATTTAATCAGTGCGAGGACAGATGGGGTAAAATTGGGTGCAATGAACAATCGGATTATATTTATGTGATTACACAATTATCTGTACACAGGATGAATGCAGGGCACCTCATGTAGCACTAAACTGGTCATTAAAACAATGTAATTTATCACACGATTTTATAGGTTTGTGTGCAATCAGCAGGAGGCAAGGCGACATTCAATGGACTGCCACATAAAGACTCCATATTCTGGAAATGCATATCCTTAGGCACGAGTCGTCACTCTACTTGTGTGAATGGTCACTGCCCTGGGTTTGAATGCTCACTGCCCTGGTTAACATTTACATTCTGCCAAACTAAAACGTTGGAGGCACAAGAAGATCTTTGGGTGGCCATACATGTCTTTAGTGAGCCTCAACACACAAGAACAAGGACTCTTGCCCAAGAACAAGGGGATAGAAGGACATATGTCTTACAGCAACCTATACTTCTACTGACAGCATGACAGGCCTCCACCCCCTCAGTCCACTCTGATCCCTTTCACTCCAACCCTCTTCATCATCTAGGTCACCTATGTGATTAGCTATATACTTGCATTGCAAAGCTCCTGAGTTCAGGATCCACCAAGGACAGCTGCAAGGAGTTTTTATGTTCTTATTGAATGGTATTCCAATTAGCATCCTGAACCAAAAATATGTGGGTATCATAATGGGTCTATGTAACTGTGGTGGGGAAAATAGACTGCATGCTCTTTTAGAGCAGGATTTGGTGTGATTGGTCTGTGTGTGTTGTTAAAGCAATATTGATTTTGCGGGATAAAATAAATAAAATAGGCTTTACTCGTTCCTCGCTTTACTCATTCCTGTTAATTGTTTAGGTTTATTTAGCCAAATTCCTTTGTCACATTATCATCTTTTGCAGACAACATAATCAAGGCTTGCTCAGGCTGGTAGAGCACTGTGCACCTCTGGCAATTGACTATTTCAAAGGAGCAGTAGGGATCATCTAGGAAATCAATTCAAGCAACTGAGTTTTTCCCCCAAAATATTAATTTGCGCCAGGATATCTGTACAGGTCAGGATTACACTACTATGAATGGTGGTCAGTCATGCAGGCATGCTCACACTGCTGAAAGATCTTTTGTACAAAGTACTTTTCTACACATTTCAAGCAGTCAAAGTTGCATGTTTGTGGATATGGAGAAGGGAGATGGAGCACCCATCAGACTGCTCTGGCTCCAGCTTACCTCAGGAAAAAACAGTAGGTATTGATCCCACACCAACTAATCAACTATTCCTCCAAAAAGGCACAGCCAGGTGACGTCTCTCAAGGTTGGGAGTCCATGCAGACATTAGACTGTTGCTTGAGCCACCCATGATTGGATGGATCAGGTGAGTCAATTTCTTGAGCCTTCTTTACTACATTTTTGGTATGGTGAATTGCAATCAGTATGTGTCCATTTCAAAAATCAAATTATTGCCAAAAGAGGCCTAATTTATATTCCCCTGCAAGTGACCTAATGCTTTTGTTTACATTGTTGCACATCATAACACTTTAGTAAGAGAACCAGCTATTACTGGGACTGTGCATGAATCTAAATCTTCAGCCTTACTTTAAAATAATTGTGCTTACTTCTGATCAAATATATACCATTTTGACCTTATTTAGTCCTACTTTTTTTGTTTTAAGTATGGCTTTCCAACTATGGAGTCAGGGCTTTAGAGGCCACCTGAAGTATGACACTTGCTGACTTGCAAAGTGCCTGACCTCATATACTGTCTCCCTCCTAATGAAAGTGTATAACAGTGTGAAATAATGGAGCCCCATTATAGGATATAGACAGCTACTGGCAGGGCCACCCTTAGAAATCATGGGAGCCTGTACAGCCAAAAACCCTATACCCCTCCATGCTTGCTGTCAATGCAGAGGCCTGCTGCCAGCACAAAGGTTGCCTCTGCCAGCTGCCTCTGTACACAAAACCTAGTGATACTTACTTGGGGCCTGCAAATGGATCCTGGGCCACCCACCCCTGAAAAGAGAAATTTAAAAAAAGTGACTTACATCTCAAGCATTTTGCAAATATTGAAGAGTGTACTACCTTCTGCAGTTCCTGTGAAAATCTCACCCCATACTGCACCAGTGTTTGAACTGTGAAGTGTCCAATAGAATACTTCACATCATGTACCTCCCTTAATCCCTCTCCTTCAGTGCCAATCGATCACAAGAGAGGCAGAGCAGAGAAGAGATTTTAGGCTGAAACTGCACCATTCTCTTGCACTCTTCTGGAATAATGCTGTACTGGGCCGCCCACAAGCAACCCCTGCCGAATCTAGGTCCCCCTGCTGTGCTGATGGAGCCCAGGCCCGGAAAAGGGTAACTCCTGTAGCCCTCTTTTGGCAGCTTTGACTACAGGCCTCTGTTATTTGACAATGTTATGCAGGCTCTGATGGTGGGAGGTGGTGTGGGATGTTAGGTAATAGAAAATGTAGTAACTGTCTAGCTTCTGGTGACCTTTGATCCCTAGATCTCAAGCTTTAGAGTCAGGCTTGGGTAAGGTATGAAGCTAAATACGGGGGCAAATATACCTACTCGTTTAATTCTAAATATTTACATACCCATATATTCTCAGTCATAACTGGTTATCTTTTAGCTTAAAGAGTGGCAATAAACATTGTGTCCATGAAAGCCAGAGGCAAAACCTGAGGAATTACCTGAACTTTCAGAACTACCTTCTGGGTAAAACTAAACACTTGTAACCATGGGAAGCACACATTACCATGTACAAAGATTTACAGCTCCATGCAGCTGGCTAATTCTTCCCTGTTCTCCAAGGCTGGCTTTATAGTTTCTGCCTTCCTAGGTCAACTGTTTTTGGCCACCCTCCTCCTACTCCAGTTGACTGGCTAGCCATAGTATTATGCTATAAATATAATATATTATATCTTATAAATAGATAAAACATATAGCCATTTAAAGGGAACTTTTAAGGACAGTAGCATGGGGGTGGCGATTGCCGAGGTCATTTATAAAGATGCAGATTGTAGGCTGTTATCCTGGTTCTTTAGCTTCCCTGACCTGGAACAAGCATACCCAATGTTCAAAATTCAGAGTATTCAGATGTCTCTGGCTACTTTCTTAGGTCAGTAACTCACAAGAAAGAAGTGCCAGGACTGGGATGACAGCCATCCAGGTCTGAAGCCTGCATCTTTAAAGTCAAGTCTATAAACAAATCTCCATTATTTCTTCCTCTTACAGGTTCTCTTTAAGACTTATGAGTGCATTGAGGCTGAAAAAGACAGTTTGCCCACTCTGCATTTGTAGTACTGAAAACTAGAAGAGTGGGGCCTGTTCTGCTGTCAGTTTGTTTCTAGGTGTACCAACTCATAAGCATGACTTCAGCTCACCGTGTGCCATCCCTTGCAGCCTTGTTGCTCAAGGCTATATTGGCTATGCTGAAATTCATGCATGTCTCAGGAATTTTTTTACCATCCATGGATTTATAGACATACTAAAATTTCCTTCTGTGACCGCCATCTCATGTCTGTAGGTGGCATCAGAATCTGTCTCATTTAGATCTATGTGTGTCTGTAGAGGTGCTTTTTTTGTTGTGTGAAGCAGGTGCGTTGTCATGCGTTAGCATACATTTCCTTTGTGCGTTCACATGTTTTCAATTAGTTTTTTACTTTAGGATTTGGAGTGGGTTGAGTTAACAAGCACTGACCAAGGCTTGTTATAGCCTATGGCCAATGCATCAAAATGCATGTTACATGTGCTTTAAGGCCGTGTTCACACCAGGGTGTAGCGCTAATGTGCGTCACCGTTCCTGCATGTTTGATGGGTCCCCATTGGGTCCCTGGACGCATGCCTGACATGGAAAAGTAGTACATGTCGCACATTTGGTGCCATGCATTCCGCACGTTTTGGGGCTGCCATTATCTAGTAATGATAATGCAAGTGTGTTCCGTGTTTGTGCACATATTGTGAAGGCGCATCGAAGCACGTTTGACGTGCGTTCATGATACACCCTGTTGTGAACAGGGCGTAACGCATTGCCATTGGCTTCTATGGGTCCTCCAATGCATTAAAACAGAAAAAAACCCAGACATGTTGTATTTTTTTAAACGCACTGCACAGCAAAGCTAAGATGGGAACAGACACTATTTTTATTATAGGGAAATTGGACATGTATTGTATTTGCATGCATTTTAGCACGCTGCACCCTCTAAATCAAAACGCAACAGCGTAAATGGGTGCCTTAATATTAACGGTGACATCTGATTTGTAGTCATTGCACAGTCACAGGCTCAGCACATCTGCTCAGAACAATGCCTTGTCCCAGGTCTCTGCACTGTGTAGTGACCAGGAGTTGCATAAAGAAAGGTACTTATCGATGAGCAGAGGGATGCTGACGTCAGGCTGTGCTGGCTATGAAACTGAGGCTGGCAGGAGGTCTGAGTCTGAGCTCCAATATTATCTGCAGCTTTTCAGCACTAGGCACATCACAAAGCCAGGACCAGCACCATCACTTGGGGAAAGAGAGGACCATCAGCCAGCAATCTCACACAGCTATTGTATGCATAGGAAGGAGGGGGAAGTGGAAGAGAGAGGGAGAAAGGGAGAGGAGCAGAGAGCTCATCAAGTCATGCGGGATTGACTGCAAAGGGGAAGGTAATCGATGGCAAAGCTTTGAATCTGAATTAGCCTGGAAAGCAAAAGGAGAAGAAAGGAAAGGAGGAGGAGGGGGCAAATACAAGCAAACCTGCGAGAAAGATGGAACTTACAATGGAGAATTTAGGGAACATTCACGGTATATCCCATTCACAAGCTGGCGATTTAATGAGCTCCACACACAGTAGACAAGCTTCCCACAGGAATCTGGTTTCTCATGGTCGACCCGCTATGGTGACAAGCATGGCTTCCATTCTGGATGGAGGGGAATACAGAGCCGAGCATACCCTTGCAGGTATGCATCCTGCTATGAACATGTCCTGTGAATCTCCATCCGGCATGAGCCTAAGCAGCACCTACACTACACTGACCCCCCTTCAGCACTTGCCACCCATCTCTACAGTGTCTGACAAGTTCCACCACCCGCACCACCACCACCACCATCACCACCATCATCAAAGACTAACTGGGAACGTAAGTGGAAGTTTCACCTTGATGAGGGATGAAAGGGGGTTGGCATCTATGGGTAACATATATAGTCACTATCCAAAGGATATGGCAACCATGGGACAACAACTTTCCCCCCTTTCGAATGGCCTGGGTACTTTGCACAACTCACAACAGTCACTAGGCCCATATGGTCCTGGTGGACATTTAACTAATGACAAAATGTTATCACCAAACGGGTTCGACTCGCACGCTGCCATGTTATCTAGGAGTGAGGACCACCTAACGAGGAGCTTAGGCACTTCTGCGGCCGGTATGATGGGCCCTTTAAATGGAATGCATCCCCATGGACACCACCATGCGTCGTCTAATGGCTCAATCCTTGGTGAAAGGGACAGACAAGCATCAAGTTCTGGGTCTCAGGCCGGTGGGAATGGTCAAGTGGAGGAGATTAATACCAAAGAGGTTGCTCAAAGGATCACAGCAGAACTGAAGAGATACAGCATACCACAAGCTATCTTTGCTCAAAGAATCCTGTGCAGGTCTCAGGGTACTCTGTCTGATCTTCTGAGGAATCCAAAACCTTGGAGTAAACTTAAGTCCGGCCGAGAGACATTCAGGAGGATGTGGAAATGGCTACAGGAACCTGAGTTCCAAAGAATGTCTGCACTGAGATTGGCAGGTAAGACCAAAGTTCACGCTCCAATTCTTGGCTGCGCCACCTAATGCAAAAATCTCTTGGCAGCTTTACTTAGTGATTTCAGAGTACTGGAACTGAAAATTGTTTGTTTTATAATGTTATTATTCATTTCTTGTAACACTTCCCGACCCAAGTTCCTGGTGTAGTCTACTGGTGTAGTTTACTCATTGTATCATAGTATTATGTTTATGTCCAACTGAGTAAACTACACCAGGAACTTGGGTCGGGAAGTGTTACAAGAAATGAATAATATTTCTTTTGGTAGACAATGGAGATGTTACCTAGCATAACAGAAACCTCTGCGTAGGTATGAAACAATTTTACCAACATGAACAGTTTATCACTGAACAATCCTTTTTATATTATGTTAACCTACATGCAGTTTAAGCATTACCTTACCACTACACCTGATCTGGTACAGAACACTAGCTAAGTGGATTACATTGTGGCATGTACTTTGACAGCACATTTATTGAGTGTGACTTCACAGTGCTCATTTCTCAAATCGCTACAGCTATAGGGCACAGCCATCCTAATGACAGGACATAAACATAATACTATGATACAATGTATTTAAACATGGAACAATAACATATTTCAATATATAAGGCACGCATTACTTCACAAATTCTACTTCTGATTTTGGGAGTAAAGTCACTTGGGCTTGGTTAATTCACATCTCTGGCTTAAAGGCTTGCTTGAATGTCCGAGTATTTTAAATAGGGTAAAGAGAAGTTTAGTGGCAAATTATTTTGTACCCTATTGTCATGTTGAGGGTTCTGATTAGGTGCTGGCATTGCAATGGGCAAAAACAAATATATATATATATATATATATATAGCCAATGTGCATCCTAGCTGGAAAGTGCTACATATTCAAATAAAAATATAATGTGTTAAATATAGAATGAATTTGCAAGACAGCATATTTCTTTTGGTAGACAATGGAGAAGGCTATATATTTAGGATCTCTGTCATCCAAGGGGGATCTGGTCATTCCGTTCTATTGAACTCTTTATAAATCCACGGTGAAAATATAATACTTACACCTATGTGTGATATCTGTTCAGTCCGACTCTGAGAGATTCCATGGACCAGCTCTCTGGTCTCTCTCTCACCAGTACATGCAAAAAGGTAATTTATTATCACCTACCCTACATAACGGCATTGGATATAAAGCTTATAGCTACAGCTACACAGACAAATCCAGAAAAAAATATGACACACTCAATTCACAAACTTGTTCCCTGGTCATACCGTTTGCTGTACAGAAGTTTCGGGAAAAAATGGTAAATCAGTTGCTGTGGGAATTGAGGATGTGTGTAAAGCTGCAAAGGTCAGCCATAGCTAAAAACCAAGTCATAAGGTTATAGAGTGACAGTTATATGAGAACAGCTAAGTGACATGCGGGTGATGTTGAAAATATAATTGTGGGTTTATCTTTTTTCAGTTCTGTTTAATGAATTGATCATTTATCACCAATATACAGAGGCAAGGCAAAGAATGTACACCTGGTACACTTAGATGTCTGACAAATGCTAAGAAAACGACAGTTGGCAAAAATGTGATTGCCTTCTGCTATGTAAACATACACATAGCAAGAGTGTATATATGCTGGTTATGTGTGTGTGTGTGTGTATATATATATATATATATATACACACACACATACACACACAGGCATGTATGTATATAAAATAATCTTTTTTAACTAGCTCATCTTCCAGTTGCTCCCCCGCCTATCGATCCACCCTAGGCCTCTTCATCTCACAAATGGCAGATCCAATCAATTATCTATAGCACACAGACAAGGCCACTGGGGATTTTTCCCTCTGTCCCACAGACTTTACCACATCAATGTACTAGTCACACTGATTATCTATCTATCTATCTATCTATCTATCTATCTATCTATCTATCTATCTATCTATCTATCTATCTATCTATCTATCCCTCTCTTGTGTATCTATACACATATATTTTATATCAATCCACTTTTCTTTCTTTCTTTCTCTTTCTTTCTTTCTTTCCTTCTCTTTCTTTCTTTCTTTCTTTCTTTCTTTCTTTCTTTCTTTCTTTCTTTCTTTCTTTCTTTCTTTCTTTCTTTCTTTCTTTCTTTCTTTCTTTCTCTCTCCAACCTTTCCAATGTGGCTAATGTCTGAGTTTTACAACGGTACAGTTTGTATCTGTCATTACTATGTAATTATATTTTGTAAATGCCAGACTAGGTGAACATATGCACCATACTGTATAAGCAGGTCACCCACAAACATAGGTATAAACGCTGTGATTCTGTTGGACTGGATTTGAAAGCAACTGAAGGCTGCTGATATTTACTTTATCCCTACCATAGGCACATTTCTGTTCGTGTGCGGGGTATTTACCAAGCCTAGCAGTGCTAAGAAATAATGGCCAATTCATTGAATGTGTGCTTATGTCACTTACTAAGATATGGAAAACACACTATAGAACGTGTATGAACAAGCAGTATAAGCTTTGTTGAATGCATAATCTTTCTTCTATTTATCATGGCTAATGTCCTTGCTGCAGATGCTTTCCTGACATAAGCAACTGAACAATATGGATACAGAAAATTGCACGCACCAAATATATATACCTGTGTATATTACATATGGATGTAGCAATGCAATATTGAGAGCAGTGTACACAAAGTCAATTCTGTCCCTTTACACGTGTCTTTTCCCACTTGCCGTGTGATACTTTCTACCGATGTCCATGTTATTCCTCAGCTGTGGACCATACCTTTGTCCACTGATAGATCTGGGGTGGACTGCTTTTCATCCTCAGAGTAATGTATGTTTTCTGTATTCATATGCATTTAGTGTAATTCAGATGGCTGTAATTAGGGCCGGATAGTGGCATCCTTTAGTTCCAGTCAATGCCCTATTGAAAAGCAGTTAATAGAATGCAAATTGTTCTGGCTTTACAAGGTTCTGGTAAATAAAGATTTAAACACTGCCACGATTGTCTCTTTAAGTACACCTCTTGTTCAATCTAATTGAGCAGTTTCAGTTTTATATCTGGCTCACAAATGTAAAAATAATCACCTGGAGACCACTAAGGTGGAATGCCTATTTTCTGTATTTAAACCTAAAGCAGCCTGTGCTCATCTGTAATGGAAATGTCTTTGTACATGTCAGATAGATAGATAATCACACACACACACACACACACACACCACACACACACACACACACACACACACACACACACACACAATTTGTTATGGTGCTATAGTTGTGAGCAATCATCTCTTGGGTTGCTGGCAGGCTGCCACAACCCTTAATGAATTGACCAGCATTTTCGAATGTAAGTTTAATATGGCCTGCTAATATATTAATCAATGCTTCATAAAAAACAAATGTATAAACCACAGATTAATAATTAACTATGTAAGTCTGTGAGAGATCGCTTGCCTGTTCCCTGTTGTACAGGCTGCTATTCAAGCAAAGGTTTGCACTGCCTTGTGGTGTGTAGTGTGGTAATACACGATTGTTAAGATATTTTGGATCACTGTAATTTCACAATAATTTATGTATTTATTTCTCACTAGAAAGCATCCAGTGATTTAAAAAAAAAAATGTTGCTTTTTGGAAAGTGAAGTGTGATGTATTTTTTCTGTGTATTTTGCGCTCGTTCAAGCTAGTTTATTTTACATGGCACATGACACCTTGGGAGTCCTGTATAAAGTACCTGCACGACCGAAAGTGTACGTTCAACACATATGAGGAGATATGTGTGTGTGTGTGTGTGTGTGTTTAAAATCCATGAAAATAAGCACGGATATATTGTAGGTTTTATCCTCATTTGTAGACAGAAAGCGCTGTGTTCTTCTAAGAACACGCAGGGCACATATGCATACACTTACATATACAATTCGCTGATTACACGTAAACTGGTAATTATATGGAATTGGTTTGGGGTGAAAGAGGCATGCAAGAAGTGGATCAATAAATTCGAATTACTATCCCTAATTCATCATAGTCAGATAATCGATTTAATTTTTTAGCATTATTATCTATAGCGGCAGCAGTCATTTAGTTGATGTCTTGGATGAACTATAAGTGACAGTGGTAGAAATAAATAAAAATCCGCGGCTGCAGAAAAATTGGCAAACATTATTCACTTTATGGGTCTGATTTACTAAAGTGGCATTCAAAATAATAATTTAGACGGAATCTAACTGTGTATTTCTGGTAAAAGTAAACAGGCTCCTCTATGTAGGTAAAGGAAAGGCAGCTGTCCCATACCGGGTAAGTACATCTTGTATGATTATATAAAAACTTTTTCGGTCAGATCTGCCCATCCAAAATTATATTGGAATATCTGGCATCTATTTGAGCAACTGACCAATAAATCCGGCACATCCTTGGTAAACGTATATGTATACAATATTGATTGCAATTATTCCCCATTCTCCTTTATCTGCCAAAACAGATCTGCATCTGAATGCTTTTAAATGTTAACAAGTGAGTTTACCACTTTTTCCCTAAGGAGGGAATAGGGAAAATTTGCATTTATGTATTCTTTAAACCCAGCAACAGGTACACTATGTACCTTTATTTTTTTAATTGAGTGATTTTTTTTGTTTTTTTGTGCTTTTTAATCTTCCATCATTTATAATCCTTTCTGTTATCAAAATAATTATTAGGCTGTCTTTTACAATTGTATAATAGGTGTGATTGATACTAAATGTTCAATATTAGCAAGTTCAAACTACAAATAACAGAATTACAACAAGCATCCATCAATAGGCTGTTTTGTATTTTGTTCTTCTTGCAGTGATAGCCCGGGTTTTCCACTGACACATCATTTTGTTAAAAAAAGTGAGAAAATACATACACATCAAGGAAAACTATGGCCACCAATATGCACTAGATTTATTTTTGGTAATACTAATCTTTAAATCCTTTCTTCATTTTTGAATGTCTTCTACATATTTAATGCAGACACCTAACTATG